TTCTTAGCATTTTTTCCTGGTTCAATTGCTCTGATAATCTTATACAGCTTTGTAAAATGCTTTTATTACCACCGCGAGCCATTTTGCGAATTTTATTAAACAAAGGCTGACACAAATACTTTTGCCAAACAAAAGCTGTTAAGTCATTGGAAAAACATTGGTGATCCTTCACCTCCTCCCATCTCCATTTTGCAATAAGCTAATCTGAGATTTTAGAATGAATCAGGTGATCATAAAAAATATACTTACTTAATTTCATATTCCTTTTTATCTCTGTTCACAAAATGAATATCTCTGGTAAGTTTTCCCTATCATCTCTTTCAATAATACCACACTTTCAAGATAGAAAATTCCATTTCTTTTTGGCGGGCGAGGGAGAAGCAACAATTAATAGCAGGAATGAGCCATGCAAGCTAAAGTGCACTTACATACAAATCCCTTTGGGACAGTTTTTTTCTGAATGGATGTTGAGCATTTAGCATTCATACAGTATACATCATTACAATGATGGAATCTCCTGAATTTCCTACTAAAGCAGCCAAATGCTGAAATAATCCTTGCTTATGATGTAGTTCTGGATTGGGCTTAACCAGGAAACCTTTTATCCCTGATAAAATAACCTTCACATTATCTTATTTGAAGCGGGGTAGAACTAATTATGGGCCTTGGAGCTTGATCCAAATGACTACCAAATTTGAATGCTTTATTCTAAATGCATTGATCAAAGGGAAACCGAAATTAAGGGGGTAGTGATGTCAGTGTTATCAATTGTATGTTGATATTCTCAAGCCTGTTAAACAAAACTGAGTTTAAGACTGATTTTTATCCTGATATTGACCAATTTCTGTTCTTCTTTCAGAAAAATTACCCAGTAATAGTTTGATTTCTAGGCCAGAGAATAACTGCCCAGTAAAACTTCCTTGGATAGGAGCACTCTAATAAAATGTCTAATGGGTTTAAGAGGGTTTGTCTCTAGTTTTTTTAATCTCTAAAATTCAACAGACTTTTATCAAGCATTAATCCTTTCCCTAGAAATCTAGAATGATGTTTAAGGGCTAAATTAATAGTCAAAATTCCAAATACAAGTTTAACTCTGAGACATGGTTTGGTTTTCAAGCTTGAGTTGAAGCTAATGCCAAATTAAATGAAGGGAGCTTAGAAATAATAAAGGAGATTGATCTGTGGGGATTGGCTTTGAAAAAACAATTGAAGTCTTTGTTGAAAAGAAAACTGGCAAAGACTTTGGGAAAGAAATTCTAAAATAATAAAGGCAGTGGCTTACAAAGAAAACTTATATAAAATGTTTTACAGATGGCACTTACCACCTGTGAGGTTAGCAAAAATATTTAAAAATATATCTAGCAATTGTTGAAAATGCAGATAAAAACCAGGCACATATTATTATCTTAAGACATGCCTTAAGGCTAGAAGATTTTGGTCAAGAATACATATATGGTTAGAGAAAATGACAAAAAAACCCGTAGATTTTAAGCCAGAATTATTTCTGTTAGGTATAATTGCAGGAACTTATGAGAAAGAACATATATATTTAATGTTACATGTATTAACAGCAGCAAGAATTGTATTCGCTCACCATTGGAAAGATGAGGAATTACCAATGGAAGAAGAGATAATCAGGAAAAATTTGGACTGTGCAGAAATGGACAGACTTACGTTGAAAATGGAGAAAGAAGATTCAGAATACTTTAGAACAGGGGTGTCAAACTGCCAGCTCATTGCCGGTTTCATCATACTGAAGCCGTGCCCACCCTATTGCCGGCAATGCAAAAAGAGTTGCGATATGTCGCAACACATCACGTGACGTGGCGAGTTTGACACCCATGCTTTAGAACATGGGATACATTTAATCAATGGCAAGAAAAACAAGATAGAGAGAAAGGAGTTTAACATGTATTAGTAAGCTAAATATTGGAACCCAGACAACATGTTGCTGATAAAATATTAAGGATTTGTGATTATAAAAAATGAATAAAATATGGTTATATTAAAAAAAAGGTCAAAATTCCAAATACAAGTTTAACTCTGAGACATGGTTTGGTTTTCAAGTTTGAGTTGAAGCTATTGCCAAATTAAATGAAGGGAGCTTAGAAATAATAAAGGAGATTGATCCATGGGGATTGGCTTTGAAAAAATAATTGAAGTCTTTGTTGAAAAGAAAAGAAAGGGAGATGCAAATGACTAATTGGAGGATGTTAGTACAAGCTGCACAAGATTAAAGCTCTTTTGAATTTTAATGTCTTGTGGTTTACTTTTCTCCTAAAAATGCCTCTGGCGCAAGGAGGCAAATTCGATACCTGAGGTCTAAGCAGAGCACTTTGTATTTAGTGAAGCTGTTACTCAACTGAGTTCATTTGAATTACCTATTGATTACTTATTTCTCACTTCCAAGATACCTAAATTCATAACATGAGTGAAAAATGGCAAAACCGTAGAGGTAAGGTGACTTGATTTCTGATTGATGGCCTTTTATCACTATCAACTTCTCATTTCCCACTCTGAGGGAGTGGTGTTAATCAATAACTGTCCCAATTTTTAAGAAAGGAGATAAGCTGTTAATTTCAGATCAGTTAGCCACTTACTTATTAACCTATTCATTTATTTAACATTATTTATATCTTACCTAAATCCTAGCAGAATCTGAATAGGGTACAAAAACATAAACAATAACAACTCTACAATGACAAAATAAATAAACCAAAATCTAAACATTGTAAGTGCCAATAAAAGTAATAAGCTAAGCACTGAGTGAATTATGGAATGTCTATATAGGGTGCTTGTAAATGCCAGCAAGGTTGGGGCCATAAGTACCTCAATTCTGACTTGGTGTTGGATGTTGTCCTCCAGTTTTACACCATAAAGAGCTTTAAAAGTGATGAACAAATGCTTGAATTGGCCAAGAAATCAATCAGCATCCAATGTGACATCTTCAAAATAGGTGTAGCCATATGAGAATGGTATAAATTAAGTAAATTTGTTCATTCATTCTGACCAGATACTCTATATGGCTGTTTTGTTGACTTAAAGATGGTATTTTACCTAGGGAAAGGCTATAAGCAAAATTAGCATCCTGGACCATAAATCACTTTTTATTTTAATTATTATATTACATGAAAATACCTTCATGCAGGTTAGTGTTCCACCACCATGGGCTTGTCTGATCAACTCAGAAAGAAGTTAAACAAGATCACACACTTGTTCTGCTTTTTTCTGTATTAATTCCATTACTCAAGCTTTTTTAAAAAACAAGCTTTACCCTCTGTTGTTGGCAAAGAAACCTATATCCATCCTGCTATATGCTGACTATGCAGTTATTTTATCTTTTGACACAGGATGGCTTAAGGCATTGTCTGCAAAACTAGGAGTTTATTGCAGCAATAAAAAATAGATATTATCCCAGATTTAAGTAATTCTACTTACCAAGAGGTATACTGATGAATACATCATAACTAGAAGATAAACATACCTGCATTGAGCGGGTTAAAGATTCTAAATGTCTTTGAGTCATCATCCAATAATTGACAACATCAAAGTAACAAAAGATACCACTGCTGAAACTTCTAAAACTATTAATGTAATAAACTGATTTGTCAGTTGCAGAGGCAATAATTTTATATACCGGTATGCACCATTAAATTATTGAAAGCCAAAATGCTGAGCTTTCTGTTCTGTGGCATACAGTTTTGTATATATAGGGAAGAAAGAGCTTTAGAAGCAATAAAAAGTAAATATATTGCAGCGGTTCTACATATCCCTTGATGCGTATCGTATGCCCTTTTGCTTTTGAAATGTGGTCTTTGCTCTGTTCTCACATATGAGAAAATGCGAACTGAAATACTGTCTAAACCAGTGGTTCTCAACCTTTCTAATGCCGCGACCCCATAATACAGTTCCCCATGTTGTGGTGACCCCCAACCATTTATACATCACTGGGTGCCAGGGGCGTGGCCAAAGAAAAGGGGGGAAAAATGGCGGACAGCCTTGTTTGGCGACCCCTGTGAAATGGTCGTTCGACCCCAAATGGGGTCCCGACCCACAGGTTGAGAACCACTGGTCTAAACGTAAGTTACTTAGGGGATCTTCAGCCTCCTTAATTTTCACTAGTAGGTTTACTTCTTCACTGGAAAGAAGGCATTTTATTGTGACCTTGTAGCCAATTTCTTCCTCCAAAAAGCATGTGAGGAGCAAACACAGAGATTAAACAGCATATTTTGGATACTGAGTTATAAAAGGATCAAAGCTTAGTTCCCTATTTCTTTAAGATTGATTTATATAGAAGAACTTTGAAAGTAGGCAACTATTTTACTAATGTCATCTCTGTTCCATTTAAGAAAACATTGGTTAATTAGTTAGATATAATGCTATATCATCTGTGGCTCTGGAGAAGAAGAATAGTCTCTAAAGATCACCTTCGCACACTCTGTCAAAACTAGCAATACAGTCGATTTCCCATATTTTATTGTGGTCTCCTATGTATAATTCCTTATTAGTCACTCATCTGGTCCAGCTAGGTAAACAAACTTTTCTTTTTTTGCCTATAAAAATAATCAGGTGGATTGCCTAATTCTGCTCACTAGCAATTGCCATAAGAAAGATAGGAATATCATTGTCTGAACTTGTTAATGTGTTATGTGCATTTGTTTGGTTAGTGTTTTTAAGTATTTAATGTTTTTATTTTCGGAATCTTTTCTTCCTTTTTCCTCATTTTATTGGCTTGGGCTAGTAATTGATAAATAAGCAGTGGTGTTGTCGTGTAAGTTTCCCCCCCCCAAAAAATCATTAAAATTATAGGAACCACGCAGGAGTATCTTATAAGCAAAAATCTGTATTAATTCTATTGACTCGATGACCTCCAAGGTTTATTATTATTATTATTATTATTATTATTATTATTATTTAGGGTGCCAATGAAGCAATCCTCTTCCAGCGATGCCTCATTCACAGCAGTGATCATTTCAGCATCTCTTGGTCTTTTTCTCTAGGTACTGAAGCATCTGCGACACTTGAACTTCACTAATAATATGGGGGAGCAAGTGGATTTTGATGAGTCAGGAGGCCTAATAGGAAATTATTCAATTATCAATTGGCATCTGTCCCCAGAAGATGGCTCCATTGTATTTGAAGAGGTTGGACACTATAATGTTTATGCCAAAAAAGGAGAAAGGTTATTTATCAATGAAAATAAGATCTTATGGAGTGGATTTTCCAAAGAGGTAAGTGACACCCAGCATTTTAGTTGATATTTCTCAGATTTTCCCAGGAGATCCACAGTATCTTTCCTCTCCTTAGGAAAGGATATCTTTCTTTTCTTTTCTTTTTTCTTTTCTTTTCTTCTGAGTGAAGAACACAGCTTTGAGATCGAACTAGTTTGTGTGTGTGTATTTGATACAACAGGTATCAAATAAAACATTTTAATGTGTGTGTGTGTGTATGTATGTATATACATATTCATATACATATACATATACATATACATATACATATACATATACATATATATATATATATATATATATATATATATATAACATTAAAATATTTTTGTTTGATATCTGTTGTCAAGTGATGCTGTCGTATAATGGAAAAACAACATCAGGTGCAACAGCTATTCTCCACAGCCATTCTGATGCTGTATTCCAGGGCAAATGAAGCCTGGCCTCATTTTGAAAAAAAAGTCTCAATGCTTCTTTGCTTTGTGAAAATCTTTCTTTGCTTCTGTGGAATTTCTTGGGTATTTGGTTCTTAAAGATAATCTTATGAAAACAAAAATGGCTGATTTAATGTTTTTTATAATTCAAAACTGCTTATTCAGTTCAGATGTGCCATTCATGATCACCTCAGTCATACTCTTCTCAAAATGCCTGATTTTTGCAATCAGATTGCTCTGGTTCTACTCCTTTGCACTTATCTTTTTCCCCCAAGGTGGACAAACAATTGTCAAGTCATTTTGCTTTTCTGTGGGCTTTAGTACTACAGCCATCTACACCTTGCTGATGTCAAAACTAATATTTAGCACAAAATTTAAACAGAAAAGTATTTTAGTGTCCTGTTTGTCTCTTTGTTCTTTTTTCTACCATTTGTATCTTAAAGAAAAGCTTTTTTAAAGCGTTGTTGTTGCTCATTCAGAATGGTTGACCTTAAAAATCCAATTCAAAAGTCAGCAGATCTTCTTTTTGGCTCCATCTTGTGGTTGTTTGGAAAGTTCCAGATCCGATCTTGCTTGCAAACCTGGGATTATAGGATTACCATAGAGTTCATATTACCATAGAGTTCATGGTTTCCTCAACTAAGTGCCCTTTCTGTGTTGGACTCTTTCATTCCCAGCCAGCAATAATTAGTTGACAGTGTTAAACACTGACAGTGGGCTCATACACCTTATGCTAAGTTCACATTTGTAGAAAGAACATCTCATGTCAAAAGCATAGTTCACACATTTATCAGATGGTGATGCTTGTCACATGATGGAAAACTAGAAATATGCACCATCTTGTTCCCTGTACATGCTAGAATATTCAGGCAGACTATTCCACTTCCAAGCCCAGTTTTTAAGCAGTGACTAGGAGATCCTTAGCTATAATTTCTACTTCTGAGAAGAATGTGCATCTCCTCAGTGGGAAGGAAACTGAGCCCATTCTGATGTGCTATCCAGGGCCAGCATAATTCCTCTTAAACTCTATGCTCCTAAAGAAGTGGGCAAGTGAAAGTAACAGCTCCACCTGCTTCTTGGTGCCATGGCAGCTATTCACTAACTTGCCAAAGTGAGCAAGACATAATGCCCACCTGCCTTTTGTCTCAGGTTGACTTTATTTTATGTAGAGTGTGGCATATAATGTCAGGGAAATCTACATATGCTAGACAAACAATGCAGTCCTAGCAGCCTAGAATACTAGTTTGTTCTGTTCAGCGCTTAGGCACCTCTTCTTGATGCACCCAAGGGAGAGCTTTTTACCAGATAACTAGTGACATTTGGATTGCTGGCTTTTCTGGACTCCTCCACTGGTCTCACTTTGCCTCATCTTGTATCTCAATGCTTCACATCCAGCCAGATCCAACACCAGCTTCCTGCTCTCCGCACATATGAAAGCAGCTAGGTTTTTCCCACTGAAGTGGTACCCATTTATCTACTTTCAATACTGCATGTTCAGGTTGACTACCTCTCTGAGTCTGCATTGTAGCATCTTTGGATCACTGAAAGATACAGCAAAGAGTGGCAGTTTTGCTTCTCGGCTGTTTCTTTTTTTGTGTGTAGAAGAAAATACCACCATCGACCTTGTTTTGATAATCAGCTCTATGGAGATCTGCAATCAGTCTTCTTCTTCCCTATCAGCTTACTTTGCAGTCGATCTCCACCCAGATTATCTTCATTCACACATGATTGATAAACAAAGGGTTGGAAGGGTGTTGCTTCACCACCAATCAGGAGCATCAACCTAGATATTAATGAAACCTATCTTTATTCCTTAAGGTACCATTCTCGAACTGCAGTAGAGACTGCCTTCCAGGTACAAGGAAAGGTATCATTGAGGGGGAGCCCACCTGCTGCTTTGAATGTGTTGAATGCACAGATGGAGAGATCAGTGATGAAACAGGTATGATCTGACTCTGGGAAAGAAAGTAGCCCCCTCCTCTGTTAGAAACATTTATCCAAATGGACTCAGAATTCATTTTTGGAAGTCACCATTGGTAATGACACCCTGTTACAATGTGTTAATGAATTACTAACCATTTCCATCGCTCCATCCAGTTACTATATTTACGGATTAGCAGTGGATTTTGTCCCAGAAGAGAATGCAATTGGAAGGATCAGGGCCTCCTCAAGATAAGTTTATGAATCTCCAGATTATACAGAAAGAAAAGAGAAGAAAAAGACTATTTTTCTTTCAAAAAGTGTGGTGAATCTTTAATACACCCCAGCTCTTGATATATTTTCTTTTTTTATAGATTGTGCCTATAGTTTTTTTTTAAATATAAGGCTGCATGTTGTCCAGCTAAGCCAAATCCTAGAATTTGTTTGTCTGTTTTTAACAATTTATGCCTCCAGAGTCCAGGATGAAATTTGTATGATGGAACGCTTTTCTATGAAAGGTTGATTCCAACCGATGAAAAATAGCCTGTCGGGAAGAATTCTTGTTAAAATCCTAGTTTGTAATGGGGAGTGGGAATTTTTTTCAGTAGACGCAGATTTTCCTTCCGATAGTAACAGTGCAGGTTTAGGAGAAAAGCAACAGAACAGAAATGTGCTCAGAATGATTAGCTGGTCTTTGAGTTTAAGAGTTGGCACTGTATTGTGAACATAATTTCATATACAGTCCCTGGGGACTGTACTGTATATTAAAGAATCATGAGGTAATCTCTGAATCAAGGAGGAAAGCTTCTGCCAAAACACAATCCCTGGGAAAACTTTTTTTTCCTGAAGAAGGATGGAACATTCTTTCTTTCCTTTTTTTTTTTTTTTTTGTAAATGAACCAAACTAAGGATTAAAGGATGTACAAACCATAGTTTTGCGTACAATCTCTAGGAGTTTCTCCTCTACATGGAAAATAATAAGTCTGTGAAAGAATAGAGCCATGGTCTTTTGGCAGTATTGCATGTAGATGGCCTCTTGACAGAGATGCCACTAAGTGCACTTCCTGTTCAGATGTCTTCTTTTAAGCAAGGATGTTTTGTCTTTTCCAGATGCCAGTGCTTGTGAGAAGTGTGCTGAAAACTTCTGGTCCAATGAAAACCATACCTTCTGCATTCCCAAGCAAATAGAATTTTTGTCCTGGACAGAACCATTTGGAATTGCTCTCACTCTTTTTGCTGTACTAGGTGTCTTCTTAACCTCATTTGTCCTGGGAGTCTTTACCAGATTTCGCAACACGCCCATTGTCAAGGCCACAAACCGGGAGCTCTCTTATCTCCTCCTGTTTTCCTTGCTCTGTTGCTTTTCTAGCTCTCTTTTCTTCATTGGTGAGCCTCAAGATTGGAATTGCCGCTTACGACAACCAGCCTTTGGCATCAGCTTTGTGCTCTGCATCTCCTGCATTCTGGTAAAGACCAATCGTGTCCTTCTGGTCTTTGAGGCTAAGATACCAACAAGCCTCCATCGCAAGTGGTGGGGACTTAACCTTCAGTTCCTCTTGGTCTTCTTATGCACATTTGTGCAAATTGTCATCTGCGTCATCTGGCTTTATACAGCTCCCCCTTCTAGCTTCCGTAATCATGAAATGGAGGATGAAATCATCTTTATCACTTGTAATGAGGGCTCCTTGATGGCACTGGGCTTCCTAATTGGTTACACTTGTCTGCTGGCCGCTATCTGCTTCTTCTTTGCTTTCAAATCCCGCAAACTACCAGAGAACTTCAATGAAGCCAAATTTATTACCTTCAGTATGTTGATTTTTTTCATTGTTTGGATCTCTTTTATACCAGCCTACGCCAGCACCTATGGCAAATTTGTCTCAGCAGTGGAGGTGATTGCCATTCTGGCAGCCAGCTTTGGGCTTTTAGCATGCATCTTCTTCAACAAGGTCTACATTATCCTCTTTAAGCCATCCCGCAACACCATTGAGGAAGTACGCTGCAGCACGGCTGCTCATGCTTTCAAAGTGGCAGCCAGAGCTACACTGCGACGGAGCAATGTGTCCCGCAAGAGGTCCAATAGCCTGGGGGGCTCCACAGGCTCTACCCCATCTTCATCCATTAGCAGCAAAAGCAACCAGGAAGAGCCCTTTTCAATACCAACGTCTGCAGAACCACAGCAAAAACATGGGTGCAAGCAGAAGGTGAGTTTTGGTGGTGGAACTGTCACCTTGTCACTAAGCTTTGAGGAGCACCAGAAAAACGCTGTAGCTAATAAAAATGCAAAGCACAGAAACTCCTTGGAAACCCGCAATAGTGATGATAGTCTCACGCGGCACAAAGCCCTGCTTCCTCTGCATGGCAATGAATCACTAGAGCCCAAATTCCAGACACCCTCAAATCAAGAATCCAGCATACCAGAATCAGTAGTGGGAGAAACCAAGCAAGGAGAACATGTAGAAGGACAACCTTCTTTGTCAGCTGCATACCTGCGGGATTTAGTAGGCAGTGGCTTCATCAAAGAGAACGCCATCCATTCATAATCAAAAGAAAAGGAACCAATTATTGAGCAACTTTCTCCTGGATGGAGAGAGGAATTGAATACACCTCTAATTCCTCTTACTGTTAGAATCAGCAGGTTATATCCATTTTCAAAGGAAAGCTGAGTGAAACAGTTCCTTAGCATGCCTTTAGCTGTCCTTTTAGTGCAACCATCCATGGTTGTGGAAGATACAAGAAAGAAAACTTTGGAGAGGCAAGAAGGTATCTTTCCCAGCTGTGCTGTAGAAGAACTTTTTTCTTATTCTCCTTTCCACCACTGCAGTTGTGAGCATGTCTGAGGTTCCATTAACATGCTCTGCTTTTACATCAAAGTATATTATCCCCTTTTCTTCCTTGTGTATATTAATTCCCCTTTATATGTAAAACTGCTTAGCAACTTTACAACAAGATGAAACTTGGCTGCTTTACATAAAACAAGTCACGCAGTTTGCTTTAGAAAATATTCTCCAGCATGCTAAATAATGTTCAGCCAGTGGCTTGAACTTGTAAAGTATTTAAAATTATAGACAGTGATATTTTTACACATGAAGGCAAGGCAGATCTTTCCTATCTAAGCCAGTGTTTCCCAAACTTGACAATTTTAAGGCATGAGGACTTCAACTCCCAGAATTCTGGGAGTTGAAGTCCACATGCCTTAAAATTGTCAAGTTTGGGAAACACTGATCTAAGACATAGAATTCTGTGGTCTTCAGAGACATCACCATCTTTCCAGTGCTGCTGCCCGGAGACTGACATGGGGAGAGGGGCAGATTTAACTCACCTTGAAGGCAGAGAAAGCGAAGAGAAGCTATAGGGCAGCGTTTCTCAACCTTGGCAATTTTAAGATGTTCAGGTTTCAATTCCTAGAATATCCCAGCCAGTTGAAGTTCACATGTCTTAAAGAAATACGGTATATATTGAGAAACACTGTTATAAAGAAAATACAGAAATACAAAGAGCTCAGTGAAAATGTGTCCTTTACCCTAGCAGGCCTTTTGTGCATCAAAGAGCTTCAAATGGAGAAAAGCAGATGTAAGAAGTTGTGTGTCCCACAAATTAAAAACAAAACAAAAGTTTAGGAAATAAGAACATAGCACACAGCAGCACAACAAGGAAAATTGTAGAGATAACCAGGTTCTATTATGAACCTCGTTATAGAACCAGCTTAAATTATGAATCTGGTTATAGAACCAGCTTTAATTATGAACCTGGTTATAGAACCAGCTTTAATTATGAAAAGCTATTAATAAAGTTAGTTAAATATAATGTAGTCATATTTCAAAGCATGTGTCAATTGAATCATACTTCAGTAGAAAAATGTGCAGATAGTTTAATCTTGTTCTGTGACTTTAGAAATGTTTTAATGGGCAAATAAATGGCAGGTATAGTTAAATGTTATGTTTTGCCACATGTGGAATGAATGTCAGAGCTTGGACACTCTAATGTCTGCAATTCCTACATTTTAAAATGTGTTTTACAGACAGAAGTTGTCAAGCTGAGTTCGATAAGTTCCTATTCATGCAGAAAGAACTGAGAAAGAAGCCAGTCTGATTGTAATGAATTCTGATTGAATCTTCTTGCTGTACCTGTATTTGCATAGCATGAGAGGGACCCCTCTTTTTCCAAAAGATCTACACATGAATCACTACATATCTTTCCCCCACACAAGAAATATTTATATTTATCCATATAAATAAAGCAACATTGTGTGCCCATTGACAAATGCAATGGAAAACTTCATTTGAGTTGTGAGAGCATATTGAACAGTGGCAGTAAGCTAAAGTAGGCATGCACCAAGATCTGGGCTGCAGGTACATGGACTGCTGCTAGCTGGCATCAAAGAGATTCAGAGAATTAACTTCTTTGCTGTTGACTAGGGGCATCTGGATGGTTGAAACCAGGTGTGGTATGTTACTCTATGCCAAGCCCAAACCAATCGTATTATAGCTTAGTATGATGTGCAGATTCTGCCCAATTGTACTATATTTAATTAGCCCTGGTGAATCAAATCATGGGCCAATGCAATATGCAGCCTTATTAGCCTGCTCATCATAGACTGCAGACAGTTGCTAAAGAGAATCAATTGTTTGAGAGGAAATGTAGATACTTCTCTGTTTTTAATGCCTTTTTATGGAGTGCTTTGGAATTAACTATCCATTTATTCAGGGATGAATGGAAGGTAATTTAGGATCTACTGAACTGTGGGTGATTTGTAGTGGATTGGCAGGGATTTTGGCTTCCATTCATTGAACAAGATTTACCAGAGAATGACTGTCCCTTTCCAAAAAATGAGAGAGATAAAGTGAAACCACTTGGACAAACCATAAAAGGATTTTTGCATGGACTATAGATGAGCTCTCACTCAATTCTGGTACTCCAAACAAATCTCTGTGCTCGCTCAGCAGCTGCTTAGATGTGCCACGTTTATGTGTTTATACACATGCACAAAAAAAAGAAAAAACATTAACCAGATGCAAAAATTAAAAGGAAATAGGAAAAAAAAAACACCCTCAAACCAGCAAGGCATATTAGAATAAATGTACAGTATATATAACACAAAAAAAGCCCAGTTCTTAAAAAGCAAAACAACCTTGACCTACGGAATTATTGATTGGACTTTCCATAGATAGATAGACCTGTTCATATGTAGAAAAAAACATATAACTATATCCAAAGTTTTATTACTTCATCTAGGACTATTACTATATAATTTTAATGCTATGTTATTAATACCACGGCTTCTGGTTGGGGAATAGAAACTAATAAGCATACATTTGGATTTAAGTCACTAGTTAACTTACATCTGACATAGTTATGAGACAGAAGGTCCATCGGGAACTAATTTTTTAATATCTTTGGACAAAGGCATTACCTTGGATGTGAAAGATATGATACATTTCTCTGTGATTAATTCAGTGACAATAAGATAGTCAATTTTGTAGTGGATCTTCACTAAGAATCCTGGTGAATACAAGAAACATATCATGGACCCGATGAACTCCCCAAACCTTATCATCCCACATATCAAAAGCTGTTCTTAAGAGTTTTGAAATCTGGTCAAGTGGACTTCTTCATCAAATCTAATTTAATCCTGAAGTGGCAGATTTTGAGGAAAAAGAAAATACTAAATGATGATTTTGGAATCTAACAAAAAAAAAAACAATACAACATGGCCTTCAGTGTTCATTCACATACTGTATATCCCTGGATTATTTCAAGTTTCAGTGCATTCTGAAAACATTAAATAATTGATGTGAGATATAATCAACACAGTTACGCTTTTTCTTGAAATGTTCAGAATGTTTGTAAATATAAGCCTAGATGATGCAGACCTTACACCTCATATTGAGGCTAAAGAAAGTCATAAAATTAAGCTTGTCTCAAATAGCTTAATATTTAACATGAATTTAGTATTTCTTTACCAGAGCATTAAGGATTTTATTATCAAGATTATTTTGTGCTGAAAGGGTCTGAAAAACCGTATCTTTTTGTCTGCTAGAAACCTCAGGGGATGTTTATTTCTTAGCTTAGATGCTTTTTTTTTTTTCAGGCAAAGAAATCTACATTCAGTTTGAATGGTTTATTTAGGGCAGAATGGCTTCCTTGTGCTAATCATGAACTAGTCCTGGAAGCCTTTCATATTAGTCAACAGACATCTCTTCAGCATGCATTAGAAAGCCTCCTTTCCTGTAATTCCACGCAGCAAGTGAAGGTTGCCAGGGCTTGGTTCAAAATAAACAATAGGGACCCGAAGGCTGAAGGCAGAAAAGCCATTTCCTGTGGCTTTAAAATCTTAAAATATTCTTGTGACTTTAAAGTTGATTGAATAAAAGCAAATTGGTACAATATGGGCTCTTCAACCAACTGTCTATGCTTGGTCATAATATTGTAGCTGGATTGAGTACTCTATTTTCTTCATCGGATGTTAGACTCACACATATACATATATACAAATAAGTACACATATCCGTTTGTTCCACATATTATATGTTTCAGATTTTATTCAGGAGCTCAAGATGATGTACATAGTATTTCCCTCTTCAATTCTACCCTCACGCTCCTCCTATCAGAAAACCTAAAGGGGGGGAGAAGGTACTCTGTGAGGCTGAGGACAGGACATTTGATCTTAAGAGTCTCCCCACTTCTATTCCAGGGCTCTAAGTGCAGCGTGACAGTTTGGAGAGCTTGGGGCTTTCATTTGGGAAACTCACTGAGAAAAATACAGAGACCATACCCCAAATGGTACGAGTGAGCTTTGTATGTTAGCAGTATTCCATGTACCTCCTGAATATCTTACTTTCTGATTATTTAAAAACATTTTTTTAAATTGCTTACATATAAAAGAAAAGGCTTGTTGTAATAGTACTGGCATCAAATGCCATCTTGGTTGGCAGGTGAAAGGGCTGTAGATGCAATTTACAACGAGCCATAGTTTCTTTTCTTGTGGGTGGTGGTCATACATTTTGCCACTGGGAAGAAAATGGGCCAAACTTAGGTTTTCTTCCTGAACTACTTCATGGTGGGTTTCTCTGTAAAGAAGCTGGGGGAGGTCACCTACCTCAAGGTAGTTTTGAACCTTCCAAATTGGACTACCTACTTGTATGTCTTCATCTGTTTCTACTGAGTCACACTGCTGATAGCATGACGGTTGTTGAACAGGAATTGAGTTCCATATCTAGCAAATGCCATCTATCCACTGGCATCATACTAAATCAGTGATGGCGAACCTTTTAGAGACCAAGTGCCCAAACTGCAACCCAAAACTCACTTATGCATTGTCGAGTGCCGGATGGGTATGGCCAATTGGGTGGGCGTGGCCCATTGGGTCAGCGTGGCTTCAGTGGTAACGACAGATTGGGTGGGACTAAAAAGTTCAATCAATCAATTCCAACTTTGCAAGATCTTTTTTTTTTCCCGCAAGAAGTTGAAATTGACTGATTGAATCTCTTTTTTTTTTTTGGCACACGTGGCGAAAGCCTAAAGTGAAAAGGTTTTATAAAACCCAGATGAAGGCCTAGGACTGGGGCGATGGCACGCGTGCCCACAGAGGGCTGAGTGCCGCCTCTGGCACCCATGCCATAGGTTCATCACCACTATACTAAATGATCTTTTTGCTTCCCTCACTTGCAGTTGGTGCAGATACCCTGAGCAATAATTTCTGTCTGTGTGCCACTTTGCTGTACCTTCATAACAACACTAGTGATATTAGTGAATTAGTTATTAAGGTCTAGCTAGAACATGACATTTTAAAAGAGATAAAAGTAGGTTTAGTCAATTAAGCTGCTTCTAGCAACATATATAAAAATGAAAAATAGTTTTCTTAGTTCATAAGAAATTGAATAGTTTCCTTTTTCTCATATCAAAGATTTATCTAAGCCATAATCCTGTTTCTCAGAGCTATCACAGAAATGCTTCTAAAAGCTAAGCATGAAAACAATATACTATTGTTGCTTCTCCTTGACATATGTTGTCTGGATCACATTCTCTAAAGATAATCATATGAAATGGCTGTTAAAAATATATCTGTCTGCTCACATGGCTATCATCTGCACACATGGCTATCATGTCTTCAACTATCTTCATACATTTTAATAATGTATTCTAATTTCATGTTAAAACCCGTATGGTTTTGCCATGAATGCATTCCCATCCGTTTCTTTGGTGTCATCCTGAGTTCCAGTGTAAGAGCAGCAGTGATTTCTCTTTCCCCCAGTGCTCATTGCTGTATCTCACTTCACTCGTTCTCTAAAACAAAACTTGGAAGCATTGTGCATGGACAATGGGAGGTCAGTTGGATTTTTCAAAGTACTCTAATGTGCAAAGAAATTTAAGAAATAATCAAGATTTTATATGTAGCCAAAAGTCCAATAACAGTTCTAATTTTCAAAGGTAGTACCAGGTTTGAGAAGGACTCACTAAAAAAAAACTTCTGGGCATCACTGTAGGTTGTAAATCTATCGCCAGCTTATACCTGCACTAACAAACACAAACACAACACATTTAAAAGAGGGAAAGCAGTAACTGATGTGCAGCTCCCAGCACTCTGGAGATGTCAGAATAGGCAGCTTTAACTGCACCAGCTTGGATTTCTACAGCAGTATAAGCAGCTGTAGGCTGCTGCACCATCTACACCACTAGGTTTGTCTGCTTTGTAATACACCACGAAGTTTCACTATCGGTTGTTTAAAGGGATGCCAAGTCTATTCTTGTATGTTACAGTTAATATTTGTATTGCTTGTAATGTTTATATCATATGGCTGTGCATGTCCTCAAATCTACGAGTACGGTTGCCTCCTGAATTTTGCAGATGTAAGATAAGCTCATAATGTGTGCCTTTTGGAGAGCTAAATAAAAGAGGGCCTGTCCCAGCATTTCCAAGACTCTTTCTTTGTACTTGCCCTTGCCTAAAAATCCTTCAAAATTAAATAATTCAGAATTACCCATTAGAAACATGGCAAAAACTCATCGTAGAAACAAAACAGGAAACTGCAGCTACTATTAAGCATAAACCATTTAATGGGGGAGGGGGGAACCCTCAAAATTAGGGTTTAGAAAAAGCAGACATGTGATGCAACACCCAGAAAAATACGGCATACTCCATTTAATCCTCCAGGGAAAGATTGAAGGCAAACAAGGTCCAGGCAGAAGAAGAACATCATGGCTTCAGAATCTAAGGGATTGGTCTGGACAAAACTCAGCAGCACCTTTTCGTGTGGCTGCTGATAAAAATAGGATCGCCAACGTCCGATAACGGATATGGCACAAGAAAAAGAAGAAAAAGCGGATTCACTGATAATGTTCTAAAGTTTGAAATAAGACGTCCTTACATATATTTGGTAATTGTTAATGCCTGGAGGAGTCAATGCGCATCATCTGAGCTATGTAATAACAAAATCAGCATCATGCAGCTCTGTATCTGTTTTGAGTATTAAAATCTTGGTGGGAAGATCAGAAAGGGAGGGATGAGATTCAGTTTCCTCCTCATGCTGATCCCTGCCCAGAGTCAATAAAAATAGATAGGAAGCTGAATAATATATTTTAGATATTGGCTGAGTTTATTCATCATGCAAAGTCATAAATCAAAGGAAAAGGAAGGCCAAGACGAAAGATAACTTAGTGGCCTTTTTCATTTTTGGGTTTTACCAATGAGGGTTTGGAAAAATCCTCTAGAATAATTTAATCGCTGTTTCTTCAGCTTTATTCCCTTTTTAAAGGAGACCTTAATACAAGAAAATGCATGATAAAAGCTCTGCAAGGACTGGTTTTATAAGGCAATAATATGGAATTCCAAACAAATACCTCCCAATCTCCCCTCAACTCGTGGCTTTCACCATCTGTAAATGACTATTAATGAAGTTCGCCTAAAACCCGAGGCTGGCTGAGGAGACCAATTATGTCAGAAATGAGTGAAAGACCTCAGAAACCTAGCTCTAAGTTGTGCAAAAAGCATGAATTGTAATATAATGGGAGATTTTTCAAATACATACAAGTTAACCGTGTTAATGGTGTAGGGATGGTGATCTCTGCTGCTTTCTGGCAAACAATGGACAAAATGAAAACTTGACAGCTTAATTTGGCAGGTTTTATTCTTTCACTTTCTATTATACAAAATACTTTACAATTTAAAAACATTTTCCCAACAAAAATCATATACATATATTTATATTTAAAGAGCCAATTACACCAAAGGGAAAAGCCTGATGAAGAGAGAGATAGCCCACCCACTTTATTGATGAGGAACCAAAATGGCAGAGGAGTGATTAAGAGAAAGTTCTTGGCCCACACTTTGTGTCTCTGATAACTGCCAAGTCTTCCCAGATATATTCTGACTTTAATAAATACGCGGCTGCTCCTTTCCCATCTCTGGGATGGTGACCTCAGCTATGTTGCTACTTCATAAGTGGTGTTCATTCCCTTTCTGTTATCCCTTTAACATTAGAAGCACTTTTCAAGTCCAGAGCCCAAAATTCATACTTTGATTCATCCTTCTGCAAAAGGGCTTTTCAACGAAATCATCTCAACCGGATGCGCAAAAAAACATCAGCATTCACTCTGATTTAGCAGGCAAAACTAATGTCCTTCTTCAAGGGCCAGAATTCCTTTCCTTGTATCAGAGAGACTGACCTATAAGAAAAAAGCCCACTACATTTAAATCTGTGCCTACAAGACACCACTGCAGGGAAATTTAAATACGTTTCTGCTCAAAGGGCTTTTTTTCCTAGACTAAATTTTGCAGGCTGGGACAGGCACACAGTAGGTACCATTCCTTGCTGGATTTGCATAGGTTAAGGAAGCTTAATTTTACAGAAATACGATCCAGCACAACATGTAAACCAGTGACCTGCCCTAAAAAGGAGACCAAAAATAGATGTATATGTTGTCTTCAGAATTAAGAGAAGTGTCCCTGACTCAGCCATGTTTGTCTGGGGTGGCAAGAGAAAGAAGGGACTGGTATGGAAGAGGGCCCCTCCTGCATTCACAGGGGAGCCCATCAATGAGTCACTGCTGAATAGCAAAAGCCTGTAGGAGGGTAGGAAGGTCATGGGCATCTGCAGCTTCATAGAGGCTGTTCTGGCCCAGCATGGAGAGAGCCATACGGAGGGTGCTCCAGATGTTGTCAGACATGGCTCCCTGTTGACCCCGTGGCCCACGACTCTTCTGCTGCATCTGCAGGGCTTCCAAGAAGTGTTCTATAGCCTCTCTGTCAAGACAGCAGCATACAGCAATGAAAGGAGTTAGTGATCAAGAATAGCTCATAGTCCAGGCTTGTCCCAAATGTTAGCCACAGGGAGAAAGAAGGAGCAGTTCTAAGACTTTCATTTCCCATACACCTTAGGCGCTCTTTGCTGGTTTCGCCAAAACAAATACTTACCTTTGGATCATCTTTTATTTGATTTTACCTCTCACCTTTGTTACTTTAAAGCAGTGTTTCCCAAACTTGATAATTTTAAGGCATGTGGACTTCAACTCCCAGAATTCCACAGCCAGCGTTGCTCCAATTCTGGGAGTTGAAGTCCTCATGCCTTAAAATTGTCAAGTTTGGGGAACACTGCTTTAAAGGTAACTCAAAGCAGGGAACATGTCAAATACTCCTATTTACCCCACAACAACAACCCTATGAGATGAGTTGAATCGAGTTTGACTGGCCCAAAATCATCCAGACAGCTTTCATGCCTAAAGCGGGCACAGAACTCAAAATCTTTTGGTTTCTAGGCCAACACCTTAGCCACTATTTTATTTTCCTCAGTAAATAAATGAACACGTATAATGTTTTTGACTCATTTGCTTAATTGGGTTCTCTTGATCCACTTTTAGGACTTGTGTGGAAAACAGATCACATTTTAGGTCATATTTATGCAGGAATATTGAACGTTCAAAAGGGTTCACAAACTTTTAAGCACCGCCTGTAGATGAGACACAGCAAAAGCCAGTGAATATGACCTTGTGAAAGAGGAGGTGAAATGAGCGAAGGCACTATTAAGTCAACTGTGATGGCAATTTCTCTGGGTTTCAGAGTTGCCTGATCCACCACTCGTCTAGTAGCTCCAGTCTACGGTGGCCTCGTCTAATCAAAAGCAGGAGCAGAACCAACCTCAGCTTTAAAGTCACTCAACTCACCTATGGGCCCCTAAGTTGATACAACTAATGCCTAGGTTGTAGCGAGAACGTATATAGCCCGGCTGCAGTTCCAGCGCTTGCCGGTAAGCAGCTACAGCTTCCTCACTCCGATTCCCGTTGGCTAAGGTGGCTCCCAACTTGTTCCAAAGGAGATGATCCTAGAAGAGGGAAGCAGGTTGGATCAGACTTGGTAGAACAACTTTGTTTTTTCCTCCCCTCCCCTGAAACAACACATTCTTCTCAAACTTTCTGGGTTTCAAGACTATTTGCTTAGTCTTGGTCTTTATCTTTAGTAGTTCATCCCTGTGCCTTTCTATAGTCCTCCCTCCCATTTTCCCCTTCAATAACAACCCTATGAAGTACTACCGCAATTACGTTCCTTAGTCATTCTATATTTCTCTTTCCCTTACAATGGATAAAGATTGCAGGGAAAGTATGATAGCTAAGGAGTTAACAACCCAAAAAGCTACTTCTTGGGGGTGGGGGGAGATTTCTCTCTCTCTGATTGAAGTCTCCTCTCTGTCATACCCACAGGAAACAGATTCATCTCCTTTGCAAGATTGTGGTAAAGGTTGCTTGAGAATGACAGAAGTGCTCTAGCTTTAAATAGCATTCATAAGTGCTTCTCTTAGTTTTTACTGAGATGGCTGTACTTCGATATCGATGGAGAAATATCAGTTTTGGTATGTCCCCATTGATTTCCACACCACTTTTGGTATGGAAGAGTCTTTTTTTTAAATAAAGATTTTATTGGTTTTTGTTTTTCATCAACATGTGTTAATTTTTCCAATCAACAAATTGTCTGGAGTTTGCTATGCTAATACATGTTCAATTCCTAATCCTTCATTCTTTCCTCTAGCCAAGAATAAAATAGGTTCCAAATTTGATAGTAGTCTGTATCTTCTTTATCTTTCAACCTCATAGTTAATCTGTCCATCTCTGCACATTCCAATATTTTCCTGGTTATTTCTTGGTATGGAAGAGTCTTAAGAACGGACTCCTGCCATCAGAAACAGCCTCAGTGAGAAAACAATACCAGCTTCTACTACCCTTTTCCTCTCCCCGTGCCTTCCTTACATTTGGGCGTGCGCTCAGGGCAGCAGTGAAGCAATCCACAGCTTTCTCATACTCGCCACTCAGATTGAAGAGAACACCCAGGCCACATTGTACATCAGGATCCACAACATCGGGGTTGGTACGGACAGCTTCCAAGAACAATTCCTTCACCTCGTGAAAAAGTGAGCTGAGGAAGGAAAAAATGAAGAGACCAATGTGGTAAGAAGAGCGACCGCCAGTCCTGTCTTGCTTTATTATCACTGGAGGTTTTTAAGACGAGGCTTGACAGTCCCTTGTCTGAGATGGTATAGGTTCTCCTGCTTGAGCAGGGGCTGGACTAGAAGACGTCCAAGTTCCCTTCCAGCTCTATTCTATTCTATTTGCCCAGTTCCCATTTATTGCTCATTTTGCAGACTCACTCAGTTAGGAGGGAACCCAGAACACGTTTGGAGGATCCAAGACCTGGGCTAGAATTCTCCCCTTCGGGTTCTTTTCCCGTCAGATGAGCATAGGCTGGTTTGTGGTGCAACCAGTCACGCAGGGTTTCACATGCCTGTTTCTGCAGTGATTCATTGGTAAAACTGACAGCTAAAGCCATAAGTGCAGTGAGGTTTCCGGGCTGCAACTCCAGGCACCTACAGGAAGCAGGAAAACCATTCGGGTAAAACACCAAGGGATACAACTGCAACTGGCGCAATCCTATCCCTTTGATTTTCCAACCCAATTCTTTCTGCGCTAAGAAAGAAAATCCTGCTGACCCCACATCAAAGGGCCAGCTGCAAGCAATGGATTTAGTTTCGTTTCAGGTGAGGAGAAGATGCAAGGGTATAGCTTAAGTTCGCACACATCCCCAAAGAGTCAGCTTCATTGGCCTTTAGACTTTGGACTACCACACTGGAAAGTCCCAAGGCCTTGCACTTCGGCTGCTCGGGAAGGTTACTCACTGTCGAAGGGCACTTATGGCAGCAAGTTCTTGTTCATTCTCGGCTTGGGTGGTTCCCAGGTACTGCCAAGCCTAACACAAAGACATGACAAAAACAAGAGAGGGGGGCTGATGTTTGCAAATCTTCTTTTCTCCTCTCCATCTTTTTTTTCTCACTGCAAGGGGAAAAAAATATTTCTGGGGAGGAGGGGGTTCACACTTGATAGCACACCAAAAGCAACCAGCTGGCCCAGAGAGCCAGTGATTTAAGCATACTCAAGCAGCTGCTCTCGAGATTGATCAGAATGGCGGTGGAGGAATAAGGCAAAATCCCAATTGTTGCCTGAAGCAGCCACTTCTTTCCTTCTCATGGTTAACCCGGCTTTGGGAAAACGTCAGAAATCATGACCCAGAAGGTGGCACGCACCCCAACCCTGTCCAGGAAGGAGACCGAAGAACTGAATTCTGATCTGAAGCAACTCTGCTCCAGTTCTGCAAAAGAGGAACATGATGCCAAAACTGATTTGACTTCATCATTGCCTAAACCTGATTTTGGCTTACAAGTTTGCCAAACGGAAATGGGAGGGGAAGTTGGTAAATTCCTTGGGAGGGGGAAAAATTAAGGAATGCATGAGAGTCTTCTGCTGCCTGAGAGGAGATACCCACCAAGGTTCAAACGGCACAGACTGTTTTCCTAAAACAAAAGCACTGCATGTAATTGGTGGACAACGAACTGTGGGTGGCCCAGGGAAGAAAAGGTTTTTTTTAGCTATGCCGGTTTTCGCAGGAAAACCTCAGAACTGATTTTGCTTCTACTGTACCTAGATGGATCTTTCAATAAAGTTTTACTCTCAGTGAATTCTTTTTTAGACTGTGCAAACTGGGACGGTTGACACACGAGTCCTTGGCACCCCAATAAGACCACCCACCTCCAATTACAAATGTTACAAAGGAATATATCTAATTCCACGTGATCAGAGTTGGTCCTCCCTCCAGCACACAGGGGCTAAGCTGCCATTTGACATAAGCCAAGGCAGAGAGATGCTGGTCCTCCTTCCCTCACCTCCATATGATCGGGCTTTTGTTGCACAGCAGCTTCAAAGAATAGGACAGCATTGGGGAGATGCCCCTCCTCCAGACATTTCAGCCCCTCCTCAAAAGCCTGCGGGTGGTCCCGTACAGGGTTTTCTTCTTCAAACTGGTATCCCTACAAGGGAGGAAAAACAAAACATCAGTTGCTTCTAAAGGCTGCTCCCAAGATGTTAGGAAAGAGATGGGACACTTGCTACTCCACAGCAGGGTTTTGCTGCTTGTTTAAGGTACAACAACAGGAAGGACTAGTCCATCTGCTTTTCTCTTCTGCTTGCAAGTCCAGGGCAGTGCATCTTTCCTTGCCAATTAATCAATGTGTGGGACAGCACTGAAGAGGCTAAGTGGAGTCTTAGGTGCAGAGGTAAGTAAGCAGAGAGCATCTTCTATCTCTAGACCCATCTTCTACCTTCTGCAGGAAAATGAGGATAGCTCATGTCACTTGCCTCCAAAATTCTAGAAATCACATGATGAGAAAACTTGCAGAGAAGGCGGGGGGCAGATAACCGCATCTACTTATCCTCAAAGTGTACCCTAAGAGCACTTTGCCAATATGGCCCCACCACCTGCCTCAGGGCCCAGCCTCTATTGGCTCTGGGGGGAGGGGGGGGCAAAGTGGCAAACTACTGAAGGATGCATTTGGATAACCACCCAGAGCCAAGATGCATTAAAATGGGAAAAAACTGGAGGCAGGCACGGTTAGCAGGATAGGAAGAAGATAGTGCAAAGAAAAAGTTATACTCTGTTTACTCCATCTTTTTTTTAAAAAAAAAAATAAGGATTTATTATGCTTTATTTAGACAGCATTTCAGCTTGTTAGTTCTCAGCCTTTTTTATATATATAAAAGTTGCTATCCACACCACTCGCTAGTAAGAGTTGTACCATCAAGAAGAAAAATGAGGGACAGAGAGTACAAAGCCCAGCATCCTTTCTGCAGCAGGTACCTTGTCATAAGTGGAGCTGGCAAGATCCTCATATTCCGTTAGCCAAGGATGAGCCTCTGCATCTCGCTTGGCCATCTCCTCCCACTCAGCCTGCAATTTGTCCCAAAAATCCACATCTGACTAGAGAAAGGAGAGAAAAGAAAATATCCAGGTTTTTTTCTCAAATAAATGTATTAGAGAGGGTTCCTATCACAGAAGAAGGCAGGCCACGTCCATTACCTCCACAGCAGTCTTGGCCTGCTCAAAGTCTGGATCCAGTGCATTCCCAGTGTGTGCAAACTGATCTACCCAGGCTTCAGATGTATCCTAAGAAGAGAAGGCAGAGGGGAAAAAAAATCTTCTAAAAGAAAGCTAAATACGCAAAGCAACATATAACGTTCAAGCTATTTTGACAGAATTAGGAAGGGGATGAGTTTGATCTGTTCCTCATCTACAGATGCTCTGCTCAGTTCTGGGCCCCAAATCCACTTACTGGCTACATGGAGCAAGCTGCCATGAGTTCTCCTGCTGAAAGCAGCAAGCAGCAGACAGGAATCCTACCTGCTGCTGAATAAACTCAGTTGCCCATTGCTCTGCCTTATCCTGGTCCCTGGGATTAATGGTCACCCGATTGGCCTCGATGGACACCCTCCCATCTCCAATCTGGCGAACAAATTTTACGAACTGCATGAAGAAAGGAGACACAGGTAGAGATTATCATTATTCATGTCCTTTCACCTCCAAAATATATCTTTTGCCTGGTTTAGCCTGCACCTGGCCTGAGCAGATCTTCCAAGAAAAGGCAAAAAACCTGTTCAGCTTTACTGGGCACATGGGAATCAGAGGTTATGTAAAATAATTACACAATAATAGCAATAAGGCTCTAGAAAATCCTCCAAAAAGATTACTGTACAGGTGAAAACCCAGATTAAGTCCTGCTACAGAACTACCCCTTTTCACCCAGTCTCATCCCAAATTTATCTTGATCTGACAACAAGAGTAAACTCTGGCCTCACAGTTTCTAACTAATTCTTAAGAATATGAATGCTATTCTACCATGAATGATTGCAGAGAGGAAGCAGGGGAGGGTGTTTGTGTTAACAAAAACTCCATTATGATACTGAGGACAAGAACTACTAAGATGATCGTGCCTTGCATGGGGTTCACTGATGAAATGCAGAAGGCTCAGCAGAGAGAGGAGCTTCCAACCTGGTGCATGGTTATATTTAACTCTGCATTTCCTAATGGGTTTTATCCATAACTGTCCAGCAGGCTTCATTAGTGAGCAAGATTTCATTAGGAAATCATTAGGACAAATTCCAAAACTCTAGCCATTATATTACACTATTGACAGTGAAGCACCAATCTTCTAAGACAGCCTTCCCAAATGCAATGGTCTTCAGATGTGCTAGAGGTGGGCTGGAAGAAAATTCTGAATTTTGAAACCTAACACATCTGGAGATCAGAAAAGAAAGGCAATCCTTAAGAAAATCAAGAGATGTGGAATCCTTCATTTTCCTTATGAGGTAACAATAATAAATCAACCTAACCAGTTCGGGGGGGGGGGAAACCATGGCATTTTCATTTTTCACAGGGGTGGGGGATACGTAGCCCATAACAAGCCCTCTTCCCTCATTTTGCTGTCTCTGGCAGCCCATCTAGTCAGATGGTCAACGGGCTGGAGAAAGCCCTAACGAGTCATAGCAATGCATGTTGATTACTTTAAATCAGGACATTGGGAAGAAAAGATGATGCACAAGGAAGCAAAGAAAGGGGGGTGGTGGCTTGTGTGTATGTGGGTACACATATGGCCCTGGAAGTTGAAAATGTTGATAGCTAGTAGTGTTCAAATGAGTTACAGGATCAAATACACTGGCATGCACATATCCACAATTATTTTTTCTCCAGCCTTACAACTTTGCGCTATTTCTTTTGAAGAAAACACCAGTCATATTTTTACCTCAGAATCATTCAGCTTGGGATCGTCCACTTTTGAAAGAAAATCATTAGCTGTTTTTTTCAGATCGTCTTCAGGCTGGTATTCCTCATACCTATGACCAGAACAAACCAGGCAGAGTCAGGATAAACTAAAACAATGCTATGTTCAAAAGTGATCTGATCCTTTGCACTATATTTTTATTTATTCCTTATCCCATGTTCCAGTTTGCAATTCAAACCCTAGTTTGAATTTTAACATGAAAACAACATAAAATCTGAGCTTAAAAAATGAACATAGATTGAAGCAATTTACAAATATCATAAAAATTAAAATAAAAAGCAAGCCCCAACCAATTTCACCTATAGAAGCAAAATAGTAGCACATAACCCTTACAACATGAATATAAAATAAGTAAAATAATTCACAAATCATAACAAAACTGTTTTGTTTCTAGGGATAAGTAGACAAAAGTCTCTATTCCACCCATTCCCTTAGAAGGTCCCTAAAGATATCTTGGTTTTCACACAGAAACATGAGAGAACAAACAAGCTTTTATTATCTGGAACAAGGCAATTAAGAGCTTCAAGAAGTACAAGAATACACTGATTTGGATCCAGAGTAAACTGTCTCCTAAAGGATATTTTAAAATCTGAAAGAATGTGTTTCTCTTATCTGGTCCAGGTCAGTCTAATAGCTTAGTTCAATTGGTATCTTAGTTTAAACGTACCACCACATACAAAGTGTAGTGGTATACAATCCCAAAAGAGATCGCAGTTGGGAATCAACCAAAATGAAAAGGTGACACAGATACCACCTGGACATTTAAAGATAAGGGTGGATTTAATGCTACCTTGAATTGTCTACATGGTCCTTCAAGAGAGATACAATTATCTCCACTTAGATGAATTTCCTACATTAACACTGCCATTTATTTGACTGAACTCACTTGATTAAACTCCATCTCATCTATTGAACTCAGTCACTGCATACATAGTCAAGTCTGAATCTGAGCAGAGTTGAAATATAAATTGAATCTGATCTTACCCCAAATACTTAGATAAACTCATTCAGTATTTCAAGTGATGCCATATTCAGCACCACAAATATGATGAAGCACATTTTGCAAACAATCGTCTAGATACGAATATCTAGGTCTCTGGAATCCAGTGTACCCACTCATTGTCTGAAATCTGCTCCTATTGGATACTATCAAATTGTCTTTGACATCAGCTTCTAATTCTGCTTTCTTCACAGGAGGTGGGGCAAGCTATGAAATGAATTGCCTTTAGAGTTTAAGCAAACGGCCTCCTTGCTAATTAACTACTTAAGAGTAGTGCAAGAGATAAAGCATGGCTGCATTTCAATTTGCATGTCCAATTATAACTCCATCTTGAACATATATCACATACATGGAGTTTACTTCAGGAGTGGCTTTCAACCCTTAACAAAGGCAGTCAGCAATGAAAACCGAAGTGCTTAAGAAAATGCTGTACAGGCAGTCCTCAAGTTACAACCACAACTGAGGCCAAAATTTCTGTTGTTAAATGAGACTTTTGTTAAGTGAATTTCACCCCATTTTACAACATTTATTGCCACGGTTAAGTGAATCACTGCAGTTGATAAGTTAGTAGCCTGATGGTTAAATGAATCTGACTTTCCCATTGACTCTAATTGTCAAAAGACCACAAAAGGGGATCACATGACCTTGGGAAACAGCAACAGTCAAAAATATGAACCAGTTTGTCAATCATCTGCATTTTGATCATATGATCACAGGGATGCTGCAAAAGTTGTAACTTTGAAAAACGATCATGTCACATTTTTCAGTGCTGTTGTAACTTTGGTCACTCAGTGAGCTGTTGTAAGTTGAGGACTACCTGTATTTTTTTCCAATGTGACAGGGGGTAGTATGGGATGACAATTTGGTAAATTTGTAAGGTCCTCTGTAGTTTAGAATCTCTTTCATAATAGTGGGAAATTCTGTCCCACTATTAAAAATTCTCTGAACTGAGGACCATTTGATCACCAGCACTCCTGTTGCTGCTGGATTTTCAGAATGGACCTGCCAGTGTTGGACTTGGAAAGCCTTTCCAGGCATCTCAATGGATTCACATGTAATTATAGGAAGAAACCACAGAGACACTCGCCATTTATCAGCTGAGGCTTGATCTTCTGATTCACCTAGCCACAGCTTCTCCTCTGACTGCTCCAAGTATTCTTCTGCCCATTTGGCAGGAGATGCAGATAATGGATCTATACAGAAATGGGATAAAAGTAAGTTAACTAAACAGCCTGGGAGAAGCAAGAAGCACTGAGAAGCAACAACCATTATCAAGCATCATTGCACAGAAATACCTACTATCCTACTCAAAGTCAGCTTCAATTATCCTAGACCTAGCGAATGCCCTAGCTAATACCCTAGCCTAGCTAATACCCAAAAATATGAGTTATTACATAAAGTTATTCATAGTCTTCCAGCCGGGACACTGTTGTATTAATCACCATCACCCATTTTAATTTGGAAAAAGTCCAGAGAAAGGCAACTGGGATTGGGAAAATGATTTTGAAAGCCCAACTGAAGACAATCAGGAAAGCACAGAGAAATGACTGACGCAGAGCTCCAGTAGCAGTTCTGCCTTGTCTACAAGTCTACCACAGCAAAGGAAAAAATAAAGTGACTCGCAAATTATTTAATTTGGATATAACAAGACTCTAGACAAAACATTTAACTCTGCAAATAACTATAAAACAGGTCATAATTCCCAGAATTACACAATCTTCCTTCTCTAAAAGGCCTTTGTACTTTTAAGGCCCTGTTGAAAAATTACATTCAATTCAGAATGCCATTTATGTATTGAAGGAAACTCTAGTTGAGCAAATCCTATGCTACATTAAACACGTATTCAGGTGGCACATGATTGTTAATTTAACTGCAATGCACCCAGAGTTCCCTTTTATCCCATGACTGAGAATGGAATTAAACCCGAATCCCTTCAATACTATGCTATACTGACTTCTCAAAACATGCTTTCCTAGAACATATGTTTTCTAGAAAAACCTACTTTTCTAGGTCTACAGACTTAAATCTTCAGAAGGCAAGACAGAAGAAAAAAAAGACTGTCTAAAAGAAGCTGAACAAGAAAGGAGATACTCTTTAGTACTATGCAGGAAACTTCCTTTATTCTGTCAATCCTGCACCCATTCTGTTTACAGTGGCTTTGTTTTTCCCACCCTGCTCCATTAAATGCAATAGATAAATAAATAATAATAATAAATAAGTAAATACCCATAAGCTCCTGTAAAGTGAGAGATGCCCACATCTTCCCAACAGCAGCCTTACCTGTAACCTCAGCAATGAACTCCTGGGACCAATCGGCACCATCATAATCTGAGGAAACGTCAACTGCATTATCAGATGCACCAAGGAAGTCCTGTGCCCAGTTTTCCGAGAGTGCCAGAGCTGCCACCCCTGGAGCTAAGGAACAGGAATGGGTCCCAATAAGTGTCCCAATATCAAACACACACACACATAGCACATCTCCCAATACACACAGGTGAGACCAATGCCAGACTGTATTTTTTTCTATAATTCACAACCCTCTCCGTCCCCTTTTGAGAAACAAAAGACCAGAGCCTGCCCTACTCCCTTTTGTCCAGAAGGTGTTTGGCTCTTCCTTGTTCACATTTACCTCTCTGTGGGGCCTGTCGGAAATTAGATTGCTCAATTTCCTGCATCTCAGCCAACAGATCATCCATCTTGAATGTTTGTGGGCCGCAGGGGAGCATGGGGCCATTCTGCTCGTGAAGGAACTCTGCCACCAGCTGTCACAGAAAATGATACAGGAATTTGTGTGGGCAAAATGTACATCGGGGATGGAAATAAAGTTATAGAACAAGTCAAGGATGGTGAGGAAGATAGAAACAAGACATATGGGAAGGCTTACATCATCTTCAGTGGCTCTTCCAAGAGGTTTGGGCACCTAGAAAACAGAAGAGGTGTGGTAATTATCTTGAGCTCCCTCTGCGCCTCCATCTCACTTTGATATTATACAGCTCTTTAGACAATGAGAATGGTCAATTTTAAATCAGATGGAACTGTATACGGGAAAAGAAGATATAATGATGGTTCCAATCTCTCCACATATCCTCAAGAAAGGATCCCTGCAAGACTAAATGTGGGAGATTCAGGTTATTGACAATATTTATTTCCATTCTTCAGTTCCACCCATGCACTATGAGTTTGAACCTAGCTTGGCCTGAATAATTGTGTGCCTACATAATATATCTGTGGCAAATATGAGATTTGAAGCAGGAATTTTCCAGATCAACTTTTAATCAGCTCTTGAAACTGCCACTGTGGAAAAAACAAATCATTTTGGAAAGTCTACTGATCCTAAGCATGTAGTGACAACTACCCTATAAGAAACCTAAAACCTTTCCAAGCCACACTCTTCCACGATTTGATTCACAGCTGAATTTATATACTGTATTAAATCACATTCTTTTCATTAAAATTTGTTGAATAAGCCCCAATGGCTGAATTAACTCACTGTGCTGAACTACACAAGTTACAGTTTAGTGCAATTACAAACTCAAACATAAAAGCATCCTATATTTAAATTTCCTATTTTAATGGCAATATGACGACTATGACAAGAATGAAAAAAAGAAAAGAAAACACATATCTTCAAACTATGGATTCAGAGACAGTTTCTAAAGGTACAGTGAACTGCAAGAGCCAATTAATAAGTCCTGGATCAAATAAAGGTGAAATTCATACACTTTGATGCAATAAAAAATAGATACAATAGGAAAAAATATTCTGAGCAGAAGTGAGGAAAATACAAGGCAATAGAGACAACAGACAAGATGGATGTATGGCATCAAAGTGATTAGCAGAAAGTCCAGAGATGGGACACGCATCAACATATTGAATGTTTTGTACCATCTCCAGAAGCTGAATTAGTTTCAGGGTCCCTAATATCCTAAATCAGCTTTATACCTATTCCAAGACAGAGCAATAGTACCCTAAAACAGACTAAGTGTGTTAAACTTACCACATCTGCTATTGGACCAATGGGAGGCCACGCTAGGGAGCCATGGAGTCCTTCCTGTTGCAGGCCCTTGTCCTGTGTGAAGTGGCTAGCCAGCTTCATCAGAGGATTAGAGCCCCCACACTCTGGCTCCACCAACTCCCTCATTGCCATGGTAGGTGGTGGAGAATGTGACACCCACACAACCCTCACCTGTCCAAAGAATAAAGAGTTGCACAAATTATATTTAGTTACAGTATATATAGAATTGTCTGCATGATTAGATTACTGGTCGGGCAACTTCGAAAAGGATCATGGAATGCAACTACTGCAGCAGACGAAACAGAGACATCAATTTCCCTGCTAGTAGTAATGAATTTTGGAGCACCATCCCTAAAACCTATCTAAGTCACATCCAGATCTACCCATATATTTACTTACTTTATGTATGTGCTTACCTGTTTACATATGCATGATATATAATTTTATAGTGATTAACACTGACATTACTTAACGACAAAGGAAAATCCAGGAAGTGTCAGCTAACCAACCATTACTGTCCAAAATGACAAGCAATGAATTATGGTTTATTACCTTACCATATTAGGTATTAGATCAGTGAGCAGATTTCTAATCTATGGCTAGCACAAGACATGGCGCAACTCATCATGTAATACAAAATCACAATGTCAGGTTGATTAATCCAAGCCCTCATCCCAACCCCTACCCCCAGTAACCACAAGTGTTGGAGCTCAGACCCAACTATTGCAGTATTGTTAGCATGGTACTCAAATACCACTTACACTGACAATATTACTGTTTACTGGGGTTTACCTGAGTTTATATAAACCAGCAAAACATACACTATGGCTGTCAAAGCACAATGCCTGTGTTCATACATGTTAAGGCAAATTATGATGGTTACCATTTGGTTTAGCATGTTGCACAACTCTCGGCTTAAAACTGCACAATTACAAGTCACACCGAAATACATTTACCTACACACCCACAAATGAATTAAGTAACTCTTAACAAACACATCTCACGCAGACGTATTAACCCAGGAAGCACGTCCATATACAGTATTCCCTTTCCAGCATACATTCAATCAATGGCAAAATCTACGTTCTCCTCTGCTAAGCCCTGATGCTTTCCAGTGGGCTACAGTTACCTAGCCGTCATTGAACCACCACCAGGGACATACAGTACTGTATACACGCATCTTGATCACTTCATAAAACCCGAGGAGCGAGTTAGAGCCGAAAGCAAGTTCTGGAGCTTACCCAGGACTGTGTCAATTGAGACACCAAGAGATTTTCTAATCTATACTATCCTAATAGCCAGCACTGAAAAAAAACGAAAGCGACAACGCAAGCCGGACTTGATTTCAGGAATCTCGACGACTCTGCTGCACGCCTGGCTGAATAACCAGTCTCCACCGCCGGAAAGGTTTGGGGATGAAATTAACCAGCTCACCAGGCTTCCAAGGCCTTGCTTCTCTCCACTTCAGAGCTCGCCTTTCCCAGCAGCCATGGGGGAGGATCTCCATGTCCTGCCCCTAATGAACTGAATCGCTCCGGCGAACTACCTAAGAGTACGTACCGGGAATCTCCCGCTCCCCTTCCTCTATCCAATGCAATACATACCTACACGTCCCCGTGTCTGCTTCGTTCCTACAACATTCGCAAAAAGAAGAAAGGAGGCGGAGCCGGCCCTTAAAGGGCCCGCGCGCAGTAACAGAAACCGGGAAGCAACGCCGACTCTGGAGCGTTTGCCACGGAAAGCCAACCACGTTGGGAATATTGATGTCAGGATAATATCGTGCTGGTTTTGATGCAGAAGTTAAAAAAAAAAAAAAAAAACAATAGAGGCTAATAGCATTTCTTGGTCAGATTACGATTTCAGCTTTGCTTAACCCCGAGTAAACCGGTTTAGAAATCGAATGATGTAACAGCCGGACACCCATATCACAGCTTTGACTATGCAGTGGATATCCTATCCACCAATGTTTCAGTAAGTTCTTCTATGCCTGGCATTCAGTATTAAAGCTATGGAAAAAATATTCAGTGCAAGGTCAGCTGACTTTCTTCTGGCTCTGTTATAAGCTCTGGAAGGAATTGCTGTTTTAAAGTAGAGCGTAAAGAGATGGGTGAAAGAATTGTATTTTCCCATCGTTTTTTCTTATCAGTTAAGAACTTATTTTCTGAGTAATGTCTAAAACCTTGATAGTAAATCCAAATGACTTATGTATTTAAAGTGAAAATCTTGAGAACCTGAAGCCACAGATAAATATATAATGCATAATGAGGAACTTTGTTGTTGCTAATTGCGAAGTCGTGTCCGACTCATCGCAACCCCATGGACAACGTTCCTCCAGGTCTTCCTGTCCTCTACCATCTTCTGGAGTCCATTTAAGTTCTCACCTACTGCTTCAGTGACTCCATCCAGCCATCTCATTCTCTGTCGTCCCGTTCTTATTGCCCTCAATCTTTCCCAGCATTAGGCCCTTTTCCAGTGAATCCTTCCTTCTCATTAGGTGGCCAAAGTATTTGAGTTTCAACTTCAGGATATGGCCTTCTAAAGAGCAGTCAGGGTTGATCTCTTCTAGGATTGACCGGTTTGAACGCCTTGCAGTCCAAGGGACTTGCAGGAGTCTTCTCCAGCACCATAGTTCAAAGGCCTCAATTCTTTGGCGCTCAGCCTTTCTTATGGTCCAACTTTCACAGGGATACATTGCAACTGGGAAAACCATGGCCTGGACTATACGCACTTTTGTTGGCAGGATGATGTCTCTGCTTTTTAGTATGCTGTCTAGATTTGCCATAGCTTTTCTCCCCAAGAGCAAGCGTCTTTTAATTTCTTGGCTGCAGTCCCCATCTGAGGTGATCTTGGAGCCCAGAAAAATAAAATCTGTCACTACCTCCATTTCTTCCCCATCTATTGGCCAGGAATTGAGAGGGCCGGATGCCATGATTTTGGTTTTCTTAATGTTGAGTTCCAAGCCAACTTTTGCACTCTCCTTCTTCACCCGCATCAAGAGGCTCTTTAGTTCCTCTTCACTTTCTGCCATTAGCGTGGTATCATCTGCATATCTTAGGCTGTTGATATTTCTCCCGGCAATCTTAATTCCAACTTTTGTTTCATCTAGCCCTGCCTTTCTCATGATGTGCTCTGCATATAAGTTAAATAGGCAGGGCGACAGTATACAGCCTTGCCGGACTCCTTTTCCAATTTTGAACCAATCAGTGGTTCCGTGTCCAGTTCTCACTGTTGCTTCTTGACCCGCATATAGGTTTCTCAAGAGACAAATGAGATGGTTTGGTACTCCCATCTCTTTAAGAACTTGCCACAATTTGTTGTGATCCACACAATCAAAGGCTTTTGCATAGTCAATGAAGCAGAAGTAGATGTTTTTTCTGGAACTCCCTAGCTTTCTCCATGATCCAGCGTATGTTGGCAATTTGATCTCTAGTTCCTCTGCCTCTTCTAAATCCTGCCTGTACTTCTGGTAGTTCTCGATCCACATACTGCTGGAGTCTAGCTTGTAGGATTTTAAGCATAACTTTACTAGCATGTGAAATGAGTGCAATGGTGCGATAGTTTGAACATTCTTTGGCATTGCCTTTCTTTGGAATTGGAATGTAAACTGACCTTTTCCAATCCTGTGGCCACTGTTGAGTTTTCCAAATTTGCTGGCAAATTGAGAATGAGGAACTTACAGTGCCACAAATAGCTGATCTAGTGTAACTGCTATCCATGCTTAATACTACACATACCAGGCTAATTTTCACAGGGGATGGAATATTAAAATCACAAGAATATTTATGAATGCTTACTTCAGTGATGGCGAACCTTTTAGAGACCGAGTGCCCCAAAACTGGCACCGCCCCCTGCTCCACCCACCTTGCCCCGCCCGCCCCACGCTCTGCCCCACTCAACTGCCCGCAAGGCCACCCACTGCCTCCACGGCCCACCGCAGCAGATTGCCCAGGTGGCCCTGCAGTGCCATTGTGGCCACGCCCTGTGCCCCGCAACATCATCTACGCGCAATAGGGCATGAGGGTGGAGTCTTATCCCTGCTGGGCGGCTGCCATGTCCTTGGTTGCGGTGCTCTGCGCAGGCTGCGCCTGGTGACAACTCTCCTCCGGGGGGGACTGCTGGTGAGGAGGGGGCCATGGGGGGAGTTGGGGCTGGGGCAACAGCATGCGTGACCACAGAGAGGGCAATGAGTGCCACCTCTGGCACGCGTGCCATAGGTTCGCCACCACTGGCTTAAGTCATGTCTCAAAAGTCACTAATTCCCCATTCTACTGTATAGAATTACTCTCTTCATTAATATTAGTATTAAAAAAGAGTAAGTTGAATAAGTCTTTATAAAAAATATGGTGATTTACCTTTTATTTGTTCATAATAACTTATTTTCTCAAGTAGCAGTTTATCCCAGCTTTCCCCAAATTAGATCCTTCTAGGTGTGTTAAAATTAAAAATCCCTTTACATCAACTATTCAGTTGGGGATAGCAAAAGTTGCTATCCACCACAACTAATAGTTTCTTGTTAAAAAGGCTATTACCTACAGCCAAAATAACTAAAAGAGGGTTTTTAAAAATATGAGAACAAAAAGGGAAACAGAAAAAGATTCATATGTTTGGATTTGTGTGATGTTTACAAAAATTATAGTTTTACTCTTCCGACAAATTAAGTTTAAGTTAAATGGCTCATGTGGAATGACCTCCACTGAACTGTAACACTAATCCACTTCAGGGTAATGATTCCAAGCCAACTGATTCAGTTTAATCACTTTCTTAGTTTAGCCTGCACAGAAGTCCTTTTTGGCACTTTGATCAAAGTAATAGGGCTACTTCCATCTGGCAATTTAAAAGTTCAGTCCAGAATGCTTCTTTAAATGTGAACTTCTGTTAAAACTTCACTGAGCAATGTCCTTTAGAACAGTGTAATAAAGAAAACCTGAAATGCTACCATGGGTCAAGATGCTGATCTGTTGACTAACCTTCTCAGGAAGCCTAATTTTTTCACTGAAATGTACTTTAGTCCACAACTACAGTTTATTGAAATGGACTAATTCCCTAGGTCCTACAATCCTGAACCATAAGATCGTCACCCTGGCTGGGCTTGAGACAAACCTTTTTCCTTGCGTCTGCTAGTTTAATAAGGCCTCCAACATAGGTCTCAAATATTGTTTTTCAAGCAGCTGAAATGTTAAGATCACTTCCTAACAGATAAAAATTTAGAAGACAGTCACCTGCAAACTTCCTAATCAGTGAAAAGATCAGTTCACACCAGGGTGGTTCCACCCTCTTGAGATTGTCACAAGGTACTTTTTAATACCAAAAACAGGTCCAAAAGAAGGCAGCAATGCAACTCTTACATAACTCAATCCAACAGGTTCTCAAGTGCTGCAAACGGAAAACAGGATGAGAGGCCACCTTCTGTTTGAAGTGCCACCAGCAGATATACCTATACAGCCCCAGCTTTGAGCCTCTCCAAAGCTGCAACAGAATAGAATAACAGCTGGAAGGGGCCTTGGAGGTCTTCTAGTCCAACCCCCTGCACAAGCAGGAAACCCTATAGAGAAATACCTCATATAACTTCATGGTTTTTGAATTCAACTGAATGGCATTTCTAATGCTGTTTTTATCCACTCTCATAAATAATCAATGTGAAACAGACATTATAGGAGGAGAGTTGTGTTAGTCTGTGGTAGCACTTTCCAACTAACACATTTTATTATTAAAAAGCATAAGCTGTAAGAAAGCTGCCTAGAGTGGCAAGGCTGATGTAGGATTTAAATTGAGAGAAGTGGGAAGGGAGGATGAGGAGAAAAGAAAGGGTGGTACGGTAATACAGATGGAAGTTACATCTGAGATAGATTGCAACTGCATTATCAATTAACAATTGTTAATGTGTTAAACACCCACATTGTTGAGACTGCCTGAAAACTCTGATGTGAGTTCAACGTTTCAAGTTCAATGGTGCTGTTAAAGTCCCACATTTCCAAAACAGTCACTTTGCTATGGAGATTTCTGGAGGGTTGAAATACTGATAGGGTTGTCTTTGATTTGAAGGCTTAACAAATACAGTGAATTTTTATTTACATCCATTATGGAGATGAATATTAGTGACCCAGAAAGCCACAAACCATTTTCTGTTCCAGAATAATCACTTCTGAAAAATAAAAACTACCCCCAAATGGCAGAAGTACCATTAGCCTCAGTGGAACATATTTAAGAGCATCTTAATGAATTGCAGAATATCTAAAAGGAAATATATAAACATTTTTAATAAATAAACACATGCTGTAGTCTAATAAAAGGCTGTTTAGTTCTAATGCAGGTAGCAAATCATTTTGTTACAGTTTTACAAGGTGTATCCTATTTTGCAGTTCTTTAGGCAATAGCTCTACCTGTAGGATTCAAAAAGAAGAAAACATGAGGAGTAGCAAAATTTGACGGAATTGCATGGACTATCTATCCTTTATTGTATAACAGGAGAAATAGCAAAGGATAAACAGACAAGGGATTATCTTCTCTCTTCTTGCAATTTTAATTAGCATTATTTTCTTGTGGATTATACCTTTCTTCCTGTTTATCATTAATGATAATCTGCATTTTATTAAAATACTACTTGTGATCAAAAAGTGGTCTAAATTGTGGAAACCCTGGTCTTGTTCGCTGGAAGATTCTCTTGATCCTATGGAAAATCGCCTTCTATGATGTTCCTTTAATCTCTGCACCCTGTCTCTGGCAGCTGTTATCTGCTCTTGGTCCAGTG